TTAAGAAACTACACAAAACAAAAACAAAAAGAACAAAAAACATTTTACTAAAAAATACCCCACTCGTCATACCTCTTTTGATTTTCCATTAAATACGATTTAAATTACACTTAAACATAGCAATTGTTGGAGTAATCGAGTAACAAACGCACAAAGAAATAGAGTCGAATAAAAAACCTCCTTCTTTTTTAGTCCATTAAAAATAGTTATTAGTACTTCGTTTATAGATCTTTCCATTTTAGTTTCATAAAAAGTTTCGTTGGGGAGCCTCCCTGCACAGGTTACCCATTCTTTGCTGCACATCTGACGCATCCTGGGCAACTATCAGCGAGTACCTTACGTCAATTGTCAAATGATTTCACCACCATAGTAAGCATACGACGAGAAGAAGTTTCATTTCTAATGTTATATTTTTAGATAAAATTAAATTGAAATTAAAAATTTTCCCATACTGAATCGGCTCTTTTGTACCGGTCGAGAGGCGGGGCGACTCTGCCTTTATTTCGGAATTCATTTTTTTACAAATGAAATTAAAATCATTACAAAAATGTATATCGTTATATATATAAAACTACAAGTTCTTACTCCTTGACAGAAATAGAACGCATACTTCCCGATATGGTGGAAAAAGATATTTATACCGTTGTACGCGGATAGATTCCAAAGCAAAGAATCAAATATGAAAGAGTGATCAACGGCCTAAAAAATGTGTTTGTGTTGTGTGTTGTGATCAAAAATAATTTTACGCCATTTTTTAATAAGGCCACCATTCAACAACTAATAAAAATTAGCTCTAATTCAACTGAAAATCGAAACGGAGGATCTATAAAGGCGTTTGATAATAATTGCGGTCGAATACAAATACAAACTGCCATACAAACTCTTTTAGCGCTAGATAAAAATTTGTCTAATTCTATTGAAAGTGGACATGTCGGGGTCTCTATGAGTGTTTAATAATAATAAGCGGTCAAAATTTATTTTTTGCCATTTTTCAATATGGCTGCCATACTAACTTTTTTGGCGGTAGATACAAATTTCTTCTAATTCGACTGAAAATGGAATGGCTTCAATCACAATTTGGGGTAAAAACTTTGTTTCTGCCGTTTTTTTGATATAGCCGTAATTTTATATGTAAATTGCTATTGAAAAAACTTTCTATACTCGGACTGAAAATTGGAACTAAAAGATTTCTAAGATTGTTTGATAATAATTAGTGGTCAAAATATATTTTTGCAATTTTTAAATATGGCCGCCATTAAAGAGCTATTTCAA